TTTCTTCTCATGTCAGCTATTACAAGTCATTTAGCTGTAATAGCTCACCAAACTTACCTTTTCCTTCTTTTTGCCATTATCTTTTTATGTTTTTCACATTATAAGCCTCCAGGCAGGGACACACTGTTGCTGACTTTATGCATGCTTCTTTGGAATAATCTTTCTGTAATATAACTATCTGCTATAACATTCGTTTTGGATGGCATACAGAAGTGACATAGATGATCAGTTCTGCTATACAGTATTCAGGCTACCAATTTTTTTAGCAGTGGACAGGGTATGTTTTCTACTCTGTCAGCTGGTTTATTTGGTGAAAATCAGTAGAGGCCAAAACTCACAAAAAGCAAAAAAAAAAAAAAAAGGAATAAGTAAGCAAAAAACAATTTCTGAAGAGCTTGACTGCATCAGAGTTGTAGTCAATGTGTTAGCAATTAGCACAATACAATATTGGCACAGAAATGTATCCTGCGAGAGTTATAAATTGCATACTTGAGGTTTTTGAAGAATCCCTAAGGAGTTTCTGGAAGAGCATATCGTGTACCATTCTATACCAGAAAGGCCAAGAAAAGGTTTTTATAGAGCTATGGACAGAGGGGAAAAATTGTTATTCTTATTTCAATTATCAGTTGACCCTGCAATAAGACTGAGGTGAACTGAGCCAGATCGGAGTAAAACCCTGAGCGAAGTAAAATTGTAATTGATCAAGTGGCCTGAATTAGAAAATTGGATCTGTTGGCTGAAAATTCTGGGAATCGCAGTCCTAATGCATGGAATAATTGTAGCATAGTAATGTGTTTTGTTGGAGTCAACTTTAAAAGAATACACACAAATTATTATTAAGCTTATCCACATTTGTTGGCCAGCAAAGTAAAATGTGAGACAGTAGAAGACAGAACATGTGATGAAAAAAAAAAAGTCTGCAAAATGTGATAGAATTCAGATAGGACAAATTAATGTTTCAACTTCCAGCACAACAGTAATACTTTTTTTATTTTTTTATAATAATTTTTAAGTTATTCCTAAATGTGAAAGTAGCCACTTTTAAAACACTTAATCATATAGCCAATATGTTAGCAAAATACTTACTGCTGATAATTTTTTTCTGTTGATAGGTGTATCCAGAAGTTTCCCCAAACCTAGAGACTTTTTTTTTTCATTTGTTTTCTTCAAAGCATGTATGCATTTCTGGACATCTTTTTACCTAATCTATCTTGTGCGTGTGGGAAGAGCAACTGCTTAAAATACAACTAATAAAAAAGCCCCAAACATTTTGATATCAGCTATCCAAAACTCCATTCTACAGAGATCCTGACAAATCCATCCACAGACTTTTATAGTTCTTTTATAAGTGGAGGAGAAAGGGTTTCCCATGAGTGTTTTGGGCTGCCTCTTCTTTGCCTTCTGTCTCTTCACAACCCAGATGCCTTACAACCAGTGTCGGATCCTCCTAATGCCTCATTGATTAGTCATTTGGGAAATGGTGTGGGAGTGTATGTGTGGGAGAAGGGTTATATTACATGCCTCTGGATATGCAGTTGATTTCAACTCCCGTTGTTTGCTGAGGTGGTCTGAGATGGTCGTAAGAATCTTAGATGACCCTTTTACTATTTGCTCTTGAGTCATGCACAGGGACTCCCTATTGATAAAAACCCGAATGATACTATCTCCTCCAAAGATTACATTTCCCAAAGATCACATAAACCATCGGAAAAGTAAGCAAAAACAGAATCGCTGAAAGAGCAAATGCTTTAAAACTGCTATCAAATAAAAATACAATTTGCCATACCACAATGGTAGTCAGTTTGAGACCAGGCTGCTTGCTTAAACTCAGTCTTACATTCTAATGGAGGAATTAAAAGACTGAACAATCCTGCAGAAAGAACTGTTTTTATTAAGAAGGCTATTAGACAGTATTGTAAAATCAGTGAAATGGTTATTGTAGGCTGTTGCAAATAAAATGGGACTTGGGCTGTGTACAAATGTATTTGTAAATAGAGAAGTCACAGCCTTATTATGTTTTGTCAAGGACATTCTAACTGTCTAAGAGCACAATTTAATATATTCTGATGCTTGCTAATGAAGTTACTCCAAAGAGTTTGGTTGAATTTGATGTACCAGGAACAACTGCTTACTGGCAATTTTTTTCTCCCCTTAAAAAAAAGGATGCATTATCCATCAGGAATGTATCTTTGTAGGAGCGAGGCATATTAATTCACAAATTCATAGGCCTTTTGGTTGCACCTTTTCCAATTAATAATTTTTATTAAAAGTTTTTGTGAGGTATCAATGACATCTGCTAAAATGAGCTGCAACTCATGAAAGCTTATGCCTTTTAATCAAAATTGTTAAGTGGAAAAGGTGCTATCAGACTTAGGAATATTATCTTGTGCAATCCCTATTTGAATTATTGGAACAGTTTAAAATCATACCGTATCTACAAGCAGTTCTTTACAGGAACAAACCATTAGTGCTAGGTAAACATAGGTTTACTGTTACTTTATTCAAGAATACAGTAGTAAACTACTAGGATAAAAATAAGGCACAGTATTTTAACACCTCAATGAGTAAAAATAAATGGATAGTAGCAGGATGATTTTTTTTTATTCATTTGACATCATAAGAATAAGGCAGTATTTGGGGCAGGAAAGCAGGAAAGAGGAGCTAATAGTGAGATTATTGTTGGTGATTACCAGTATAACTTCATTTAGCTACAATTTAAGTTTACTCATAGACTGGTAAAGAGATATTTTACTGAGCTAATCAAACCACAAGTCTATTATATGGAATATTTCTTTATTAAAGATAATGTATGGGCATGGATATTAGCCACAAGGTTTTTTTCTTTTATATATTTTATATTTTAATAGAAAAAAAAGAAACTTTGAACAATCAATTTAATAGTAAAATATAATCTTAATACTACTCCTAGGATATGCAGGTGGGTTTTAGTCTGTCCTTTCAGACTGACTAATTTTCATATCATGCAAGAATCCATCCTAAATGTATTCCATTTAGCCCAGTAATAACTTTTATGATGGGGAAGCTGTTTGTTGAATTATCAGATAGAAAGCATATTCTATCCATCAGCTAACGTAATTGAATGGAAAATAATAGATGGCAATGGATGAATGGATTTACTCCTCATGTAACTCAGATGGAGGCTTTAAATAAGTGGCATATGTAGTAACACAATCTTACATTGTGGTGTAAATCAGAGTGTTTAGTGGGTTTTACGGAACTGGGGGTCAAAGAATTTTATCTGTATTCCATACAGATTTGTATACCATCATTTCATAACTGGAAACAGACTTGGCTCAAATTTAAACCATTTGAACAAACTTCATTCTGTTTATCTTTGGGGAAGTATTTTATCTTTTAACATTTTGAAGCAGTAAATTGCCTTGGAAAAGATTCTATACAGTATTAAAAGTGCAATTACTAATTCTATACATTGATATTTGAGAAAAATTGTCCTAAGTAAAAAGAGCTTGTTCCGTTAATTAATGCCAGCATCTTCTTAAATGAGATTTTTCATTCCATTTTCATTCACACAAAGTGAGGAATGATTCTTTTAGGATGGCCTAAAAATGGACACATTTGGAAGCAGCATTCAAAGGTTTCTTCAAGGCTCTGAAAGTCCAGGTCAAATATTAATTTGAGGCATTCCTCACTTTTTTATAATTGTATTCTGTGTTAATAGAATGTGCTCCATCCATTTGTCTATTTATATCAATAGTCCAATAATGAGTGTGAGAGAAATTTTTAATGCAGTATTGAAATGGGATTTTAATCAATTTATATAATTTCCTTGAGTGAAAAATTACCCATCTATTCGTTCATTTCCAGTACTAAGCTATACCTTTGAGGAGAAAACGGGGACTTGATAGACTCATACTCACTGAATGAATTCATTTTTAAAGACCTACGCAACGCATGGAAGCACACAATAAATGAAGCCCACAAACCAAATTAAGTTTCCAATTAGCCAAGCTAAACAGTGGCACCTGCCAGTTCTTTCATCGCTCTCAATCGCTGTGTTGTCTGAATACGCTGATGGGTGCAGGGACAATAGCCTCTTCCCTGCCCCCACAAAAAGGTCTATTTTGAACATCTAAGGTGCCAGTGCTCCCAACGTTGAAGGAGGACCAGAAAACTTCAGTTCCAAGATTGTCTTGAGCCAGGAGCGAGGTTGACCCAGTTACTTTCCCTTTGCCTGGCCAACCTTGCAGGGATGTTGGAAGAATAACACTGAAGGGAGATTCCAGGGAAGCTTCCTTGAGCTGAAAAACAGTCTTCTTCCTCTTCCTCTTCCTTTTCTTCTTCCTTCTTTCTTCTTTCTCTTTCCTCCCTCCTCCTCCTCTTTCTCTTATTACTCTTTCTATGACCCCGTGTATCCATCCCATCAAGCCCAAAGAAAACATGGAATAGACCACGGGCAGTGGGTCAGAAGAGCTTCTTCTTCTTCTTCTTCTTCTTCTTCTTCTTCTTCTTCTTCTTCTTCTTCTTCTTCTTCTTCTT